GACTTTTTTGTCAAGTATCTTACCTGACGTGGAAGTCGATGGATTCTGAAACTTTACATTGAAATTTTTTTGTCAAGTATCTTAGTTTTTCATTTTTTTTGGGAAAAGAAAAGGTTTTGCACCATTTTATTTTTGTTTCACTTTTTATTTTTGTTTTTTTAATTATGAAAAAAGTCAGTAACAAAAGTGTTGCACCATTTTTACTGATATTATTTGATGACTATTATAATCTAGTAACAAATCACTCTTATTTGGATGTTCTTTTTCATATATTTGTTTACATAACTTGTAAATGATTACATTTATAAAAAAATATATTAATTTCTTTAACGTGTACTTGTTTGCATTAAAAATATGACGAGAAAGTTGATAATTTTAAAAATTACACTTTGCATATTGAATTACAAATTTAATATTATGCACTCAAGTAACTATATATATATGCTGTTGTTTAGGATTATTTTTAAAATTTTCAATTTTATGATTATTGATAACTTGATTTATTATATTTGTTGACTTGAAAATCTTCGTTTCACACAACAATGACGCTCGAAGTGCATTTTGGTTAAAAATGATATTTTTGGCTAAACATTTAGGCGTAAGGAAGCTTCAACTAATGTAATACAAACCCTTACTGCATTTTAAAATAAAAAAATCACCATATAATAATGTTGTTATTGACATTCCGTTAATAAATGACAACCATTTCTTATTGTACTTTATGTAATTTATTAAATTCTACTTTATCCATTCTTATAATTCCAGTAAAAACTCAATGTGATTCCAAATATTTTCAAATAAATCTAAATATTGAGATTTTTCTTGTAAAAATTATTAGCATCGAATTTGCCGTCTAATTACAAAAGTCGACAAAACAAAAATTCCAACGAATTTTCTTACAGTTACAATAAATATTTGATCAATAAAAATTAATAATAAAATTTGCTTACCTAAATTGTTGTTAAACAAATTTTGTTATGGTTACAATTAAATCTGATGAATAAACTAAAACATAATAGTTGATAAAGTCAAAAACATAAATAAGAAAAAAAACAAAAAAGAAAAGAAATTAATGATAATAATTAAAAAATATTTCCATTGACTTCATCGTCGAGGGGAAACAACCGACTGCAGTAAACAACATCTACATTTGACGCTTCAATATTGAAGTCGTTGTTCAAAGTACGCCTTAAAAAAATGACGAAATTTCGTCGACTATTTTGTCGAAATATCTTAACCGACGGAAAAATTGACGGCTTCGGAAATGTTACTTCTTTCTTCTTTCTTTTTCTTTTTCGGAGAAAAAGGTGTTGCACCATTTTCTTTTTTTTTCACTTTTATTTTTTTTCTTAATTCCCTTTTGGCCTTTTTTTCCTTCTCTCAATCTCTCTCTTTTTTTTGCTCCCAACATACTTGGATTTATGAAATTACACAAAATTAAGAGGGCATGAAATTTGTGGGAAATGGTTTCAATTGCTCCTTGAACCTTTTAATACGTGGTGCTTTTGCTTCCAAACCAAATTATTCTCTGGAGTGCTGCTGTCAATTTTCATCAACTTTTGGCTCGTTTTGAATCAATTAAAGAAAAGGGAGACATCATTCCAATTTCCACGTACTTTTGAACAAAATCGTTGGCTCTTTAAAACGCTGTTTGAGATTGGACTTGCAAATTCGGGCATAACTTTATCCCAAATTGTTTCTCCTGTTACCCTTCTCAAAAGGGTTAAAAGCAAACAATGGAAAAAAAACAAAAAAAAGAAAAAAAAAAGAGCCGTTTGCAAAAATTGACAGGACCAGGGGGTATGCATATTGCCCAAGGCTTTATCCAAAAATGAACTGATTATATGCATAATGCATGCACTCATTTGGGCCGATAATAACTGTGGAAGACCGAGACTTTACAATGGCTTTGGTATGCATTTGTCAAGCTAGTGGTCTAGCTTAGATGTGACCATAGTTTTTCCAAATCAATATTCTACAAGCAGAAAAATGTCGTCTAAAAATTTCACCCCTTTAAACAGAAAATCGGCAGTTCAGATAGACAAACAGAAATACTACTTATTATAAGATATTTTGATTTCATTTTATATTTAATCTAGGATCTCTTTTTAATTAGAAAAAAATCTTAAAAATATATTTTCATATTTGTTGTGTTCTCCTAATTATGATGAAATATTTTTAAGATTTTTATTCCAATTAAAAAGACATATTAGGTGAAATCTAAGACAAATCAAAATACTTTATAATAAGGACCCGATGTAGTATAAATTATCGGTCCGCTTATTAAAATTATGGAAAGCAAAATATATTGTTTACTTTTTTGATTTATAAGTTTGAGTTGACCCAAAACTAAAAATTAGTTCGTCTCTCAGTTTGATTCATAATGGTACAATTGACAGATGGCATTGTGAAGATTTTATGCTTAAAGCTATAAAATAAGATTTTGATCGATAAAGGCGCCAAGTTCTAAAGAAGATCAACTAAAGTTGGAAATAAAATAACGTGATCGCATACAAGTGACCAAGCAATGCCGTTAGAATCCCATGAATACCAAAAAGGTGACCCCCTTGTAAACCTATTGCATTCAATTTATGAATGTGATTTGTTTGACCGTGATAACATATACTCCGTATAAAAATAATTTACATTAAACTTTAAAATTTGTTCTATTTTAAATATAAAATTATTTAGTGAAATAATATTTTTATATAATGAAACATCTTTATATTTACTCTTTATCGTCTGTACTAATTAGATTACACTCCCAAATATTACAAGAACAAGCTAGCACTTCAATTCACATTCTTTTGATGTAGACTAGTCTATTTCACCTTTTTAGAGTAAAATTTATTTCATTAAATTTTGATTATTGCAAAACATTTGACTGTCGGGTGATTAAGTAGCCCATAAAATTAATAGATGATCATTTTAATCAAATACTAATTAATAAATAATTAGGGGAGTGGTCACAAAAGTCATAGATGCTGTCCCAAGCAAAAGGACAAGACACAAGTCCTATTGGAACTCGGAATTAGTAAAAGTGGATAGTGAGGTGTATTGTGGGGATCTATTTTCTGCCATTTAATTATTTGGCACAAATTCGCACTCCCATTAGGCCATTACACCACTGGATTTTTTTTCTTTTTTTCTTTTGTAAAATTTAACGGAACAATACTAGTATTTTAATATTTTTTATTTATTTAGAAAAAAATAAAAAGAAAGTGTACAGTAATAGGGATTTTTTCTCCGAAGAGGTCCAACTTGTGGGGCCCATGTTTTGAAATTTGTGACAGGGACGGTAGTTTCATTTCAGTCTCCCTCCTAATGTTTCCTCCCAGGAAGAGAAGAGAGTTCTCCTATGTATGTTGTTCTTTATTTTATTTTTTAGAGAGTTTTAGAAAATAAATAAAAGCAAATTGCAAATGTACCCCCAACTTGTAAAAAAAATGTAGAAATGGTCAGAATTTGACATCAATGTGATATACCGTCAGTCCAATTAACATTCCATTATATCAATTTAAACAATGCATGGCCAAATTAAAAAGTTTCCATCATCGTCCACAACTTATTTTCTGTTGGATGAGTAGTATGTTCTTCATAATAGTTCCATCTTGGTTGGTGAACAATCATTGAAATTTGACTCATAATTGAAAACTAAATAAGACAACAACTATACCAAGACTGTCAATCTTCGTTACGATCCGGAATTTCGACACGAACCCAACACGAAATAAGCGGATTAGAGTTGGAAATTTGTTTGGACCCGTATAATAAACAGGTCGGATTATACATGTCAGAATCGGTATCAACCCGCCGGGTTACCCGGATCACCCGTTTATGTGTAATATATATATTTTTGAGGGTTATTTTGAAAGTTTTATACCATTAGTAACCCTAATTTTAAGACTATATATACAATACAGTCTAGATTTACTCTTTCTTTCGTCTTTTTCTTCATCGGCAGCCGACCCACTCAAATTCAGACATCTCTCTTCCTATCTTCTTCAAATCCATTAACATTTGTCGGTAATTTAAGGTGTTCTTCCCCGTACTACACTCTCAAAAAGCAGAGCCCAAGAGGTGTGATAAATGGCGCAAATTTAGAAAGTTCATTACGATCCCGGGACGCAAAAATCGTTAATTCGATTATAATTAGTGATCATTTTCAATTTATTCTCCTATTATATTCCATTTTTCTACTATTTTCATTGTATTTGTTGGTTAATTTGTTTGAAGTAGTATGAAGATTATTTTGGTTTAGCCGCTCGTGTCTTTAGAAAACAGATTTGCGGCTATTTGTGTGTGTGCATCGGGTATTCGGATTAGTCCCTTGTTGCTCTGATTCTTTTTGTTGTCATTTACCTTTGAAGGTGTTAAATTAGTTTCACGGATGATGAATGGATCTATTCTTATTCATGGTTGTTGTTTGAGACTCATGTTTTTTATTGTTGTTTACGTTCTGCAATTTCTTTTTGATTTTTTTCGGGTTAAACAGGTCGACCGGATTGACTTAATTTTTAAAAGGTCGCCTGTATAATTAAACAGATTGAGTTCAGGTTGATTATAATTTTTTCGGGTTCGAGTTCGACCCGACTTGCCAACCCGAACCCAACACGGATTGCCAGTCCAAACTATACAACCCACCAAACGAGTTAAAAAAGATTAATACCGTGATTAAACTATTACGGTGGTGAAATCAAATTAACTAAAGAATGTATTTCACGAGTATAGGAAAACATTAGATGATACCATTACAAAAATGTAATTTGATCTTCAGATGTTGTGTCACTTTTATAAATGGAAATAGTCAAATACTCCCTCGTCCCCAAAAAAAATAGTCCAATTTCTAAAGGTACAATTTTTTTTAAAGTCAAAGGTACAACTCATTTTCTAATGTGAACTTCCATTTGTGCCCCTCATTGAAAACTTGTTTAACGATGTTATCCAAACCAATAAAGTTAATCCCTTACCTCTTCTCTCTCTTCCCCTCCCATCGTCGATCAGTTTTTCGACAATAGCACCGGAGACCAGTGCCGATCACCACCATCTTCTGTATGCAACTCTTCTCCCTCCTCCTCTTCATTACTATTGCTACTAATTCTATTTTCTGCCAGATTTTCCGCTTTATATCTTGCATCTCTTCTCTTGTTTTTGCCTTTAATCCCCGCTGCCGTCGCCACCGCCACCTCAATCGCCTTTAATCTTTGAGATGCTGAAGTTTTGTCACCGTTAACGAATTGACCAAGTTCGGTAATCGATAAGGTGAGTTTGCGATTTGGGTGTATGATTTTCGGGTTAAGGATCCATCGGCTGTCGATCCTCAATCCCCAATTATTCATACGAGTTTGGGTGTATGATTTTCCAAAAGAGACTATGGGATTTTTGATGTAAGTCGTTTTATTAAAGGTTGGGTGATGATTGAAGGAAGGGGGTTGAAAGTTGGGTGATGATTAAACTTTTTTATTAAAAGGATAGTTAAGTCATTTTAATTGTTTTAATTTTGACTTTTTTCAAACTGGACTATTTTTTGGGACAAAATTTTTTATTAAATTGGACTATTTTTTTGGGACGGAGGAGAACAAAATAAAAGGCCACAATAGCCGCACAGTATGGGACAGAGGGAGTACGAAATAAGTCACAATGGACGCACGAGAATGGCACCAACTAACACGGTAATGTATACATTTAATCAATAAGTCTAATTTCAATCTATCCACTAAATGCCCCTAATTATTCTAATTTATAATAAATTCATAAACTCAGTGGTATCAATCACATATCTAACTATATACACTAAAATTTCTATCAATTTGTCATGCAGACTTATTTATATTCTCAAACTTGTCGATATTATAAAATTATAAATACATTATATTATTAGCTAAATTACTATTTTATTACATCATTAAAATCTAAAAAAAAAATTCAGTTGCCAATAAACATATAAGCCGGTAAGTTACACTTCGTGTATATTAATACACGTGTTGTGTTAATAAAAGACAATCGATAAATATAAATTTGCGAGAGTAAACTCCTTTCTCACAAAGTACACATTTTGATTCGGTTGTTATGTCATAAATAACTACTATATGCCATCAAACTTCTTTCCTTTATTTCCAATAGTGAAATAGTAGAATTCTTCAAAATTTCCGCACAAGAGATGTATCCATCTCAAGATTGGACGGAATTCGTCATGAGGCTAATTTTTATTCTCAAACTTGTTAATAAATTTTTACAACTAAATAAATAATGAAAGCAAAACAAATGTTTTCTAACATCAATCAAACGACTACCCTTGACTTCAATAAAAATGTATAGTAAAACCTTGTTGCCTATTAGCAAGTCACGTGAATTGCACGTCACGTTAAAGTATATCAGCACGCATATTGTAGAAGACAATTTTAAAATAAAAATTGGGAAGCTCAATTCTTTCATCACAAAATGTACATGCTTGACTCGACGTTGCATTATAATCAAGTCTTATCTGTCGTTTAAAAGTTTCCTTTTCAGCTAACCACAAAATAGAAGCATTCGTTGAAATTTCTCTACAACAGTTGTATCAATCTCAAACTTACACGTGAATTTTACAGTGCTTACACGACTTACGATGTTGAGAATATCTTTTCTATCGAACAATGCGATTGTGGTCTAAATTCCAGGTGTTATATTACCAGGTTACAAAATGTTTAGTTCTACTGGGAGTAGAGTTTGAGATTTATTATGCAAAATGAAAAAAGGTACAAGATGGATGTAACAAAAAGGAAAACTTGAAGGTTACATCATGCAAGAAATGGTTGAAGAACTATATTGTAACGTGTACATAGTTGAGGGGGTTACATTTCAATTTTACTCAACGAATAAATGCAATTTATTGTAGTGAAAAACACTATTTGTCGTTCTCTTTCCCTCATCAAAAAAGTACCAGCAGTAATCCCATTCAGATTGTACATTCTCTCTCTAATCTACTTCTTCCTTTCTCTCTCTTCCTAAATATACTTCTCTCCTGATGAGAGTACTTTTATTGTACAGAGTCCGATAATAATGATTACTATATTAATATTCCCGACTACTGAGGCTACACTACTTAACTAATTAATATTGTTAACGGGAAAAAAGAAAAAAAAAAAAAAAAGATTGCATCTTTGTATTCTCTCGAGTTGCATCAATTCTCTGTCCGAAAACCAAAAGTCTTCTCTTTCACACCTTCCAACCTCTCCCCTCCCCCAATCTCACCCCACCTCCACCTTTTATTTTTATTTTCCGTTTTACTTCGTTGATTTTAACAAAGGGATAGGTGAGATTGATTGAAGAATCTAGGGTTTTACAGAGCTCTCAATATCTCCAATTCAAGGTCCGTTGCTTTGTATTTTCCTTCAATTTTTTTGGGGTTGTCTTTTCCATTGGCTCAAATGTTGAATTCTTCTTGTCTTCTTGGGATGTAGTTGATTTATTTTAGCTCTGAAGTGTTAGTTAGATCTTCTGGGATTTTTCTTTTCAGTCCCTTTTTGTTACTTGTAATTTACAGTTCAGGATGCATTTCTGGCATTTCTGATTTTATTGATCATTTTTCCTTCTTGTTACTGTTTGGGGTTCTCTTTTATTGAATTTTTCCGGTTTATATCTCTCCAAATGATTGAAAGGACCCATAGCTTGTTTCTATGATTTTTCTTAGTTTTGGCGATTTGGGTTTTGGGAATTAGGGTAAATATTTCCATTTCACTGGTGGGGTGGAATTGAAAGAAAATAGAAATGGTTCTTATGGAGGAGGTTGAGGCAGCTAACAGGGCAGCTATTGAGAGCTGTTACAGAGTCGTTGGTTTGGTGTCTCAACAGCCCCAAAATCAGAATCAGTTGAAGAGCTTAGTTGCGGAAACTGGGGAAGCTGTTCATAAATTTAAGAAGGTTGTTTCTCTTCTTAGTTCTACTCTGGGTCATGCCAGAGTCCGAAAGGTTAAGAAGATCCAGATTCCATTTCCTCAGAATATCCTTCTCGAAAACCCAATGTGCAGAACTGATGATCATCAACCTAAAGCCCTCCAGCTGCTTAGCTTGAATCCCCCTGACAATCCTGTTCAGGATTCAGGTTCTAATGTTAAAAGTGGTCTTACATTGGGGAATCCTTCATTGGAGATGATCTCACATGGTAAAAATACTCTTCAGCTTGGCCAACAAACTCAACACCAACAGCCTAACTACCATCTCCTCCAGCAGCAGCACCAGCAACGACAACAACAATTACAGCAAGAGCAGCAGAAGTATCGGCTTCAGCAGCAGCAACAGCAACAACTGAAACAACAGGCAGAACTAATGTATCGGCGTAGCAATAGTGGCATTAGTTTGAATTTCGTTAGTTCAACATGTACACCAACTATGTCCTCCAATAGATCATTCATATCTTCGTTGAGTATGGATGGGAGTGTGGCCAATCTGGATGGGAATTCATTCCATTTAATTGGATCCTCCCGCTCTGCTGACCAGAGTTCTTTCCAACACAAAAGAAGATGTTCTGGCAGAGGAGAGGATGGGAGTGTCAAATGTGGTAGTAGTGGACGGTGTCACTGCTCAAAGAAGAGGTTCTTCCTTTTCCCCAAATTCTCTGTTCCACTGAAACAGTTTCATATGTTTTGATATCTGTGGGTGTTTTCTTGTAATCTTAAATAGGAAACATAGGGTGAAGAGATCAATTAAGGTACCAGCTATCAGTAACAAGCTTGCGGATATCCCTCCTGACGAGTACTCTTGGAGAAAGTATGGTCAGAAACCAATTAAAGGCTCACCCCATCCAAGGTTTGTGTGTATTACAGTTTTTTTTTTTTGCATAGTTTTGTGCTGTGATCTGTGTTTAACTGCACTTTCAAGGCCAGGGATCACAATGCTTTATATGGAGCATTTGTTAAATAGTTCAACATGATGAAGTCTGTAATGAAGTTCCATTATAATTCGAGAAGTAAATGATATGAATCAAGATTGCTTTAGTTCAGTACTTCAAATAGTTTGGGGCCTTCAATTTTGATGTGTTTGATTTTTTTCTCCTGTTGCTCGTTGTTTGTTGATTATGAGGATGAGAGCCATGTCGGGAGACAAATAGCTGCCAATGAAGTTCGCATATCCTACTTAAGTTTATTATATACTTATTCTAGGATGAAAGGTTGAAAGAAAGAGGGCTGGCAGAGGACTTAGATTGCATTGCAGATAGAGATTCAAGCTTCTTCTCTTTGACAATGTTTGTAGTGACCTTTCTTTGAAATTTATGCAGGGGATATTACAAATGCAGCAGTGTTAGAGGCTGCCCTGCCCGAAAGCATGTTGAAAGATGCTTGGAGGAACCTTCGATGCTGATTGTCACCTATGAAGGGGAACATAACCATCCAAGATTGCCGTCACAATCAGCTGCTACCTCATAAGAAGCGGGCGCAGAAGTGCTAGCATCAAGCTTTTCTTCCTAGTGTTTTCTGCCCTGATAGAAAGACTGTAGTCCTGAGTTGCTCCTGTATATATTTTAAGATTTCTAATCAAGGAAGAAGGGAGCAATTGTCTGTTTAAAAGGTTGTTGGGCCTTTTTCAGATATTGAAAAGGAAACAATGAGTGCAGGGTAGTTTTTAAGGAAGAAATGTGCTGGTTATTGTTGTTGCTAGGATATAGGCGATTGTATCATGTGATTCTGTAATTTCTGTGTTGAAGGACTAGGGATGTGAAAATTTAAAGATCTTCATGTCAAAGTTTTTTATACTTTGGATGTAGAATTGGGTTGGGTTTACATCAAAACTTATTTGCCTTCTTTGTGTTATTTGGACGAGTCTTGGAGAAAAGAGGAGTAATTTGCAGAGTTGTTTAGAGGAGATAAATTTAGTGGGTAAACTACATGCTTTTTTTCTTCTGCAGAAAATGTGTAAGAATCCAGGCTAATCTGGTCTACAGTGGTTTAGTTCGCTTGTGAAACCTGAGTATACCTGACAATGTAATGTGGTTAGGTTCAGTAAGTAGTAAGTTAGATGTATAATTGGTGTGAGAGTTTACTGAAGTTCTGGGAAGTTCATTTTGGAAGCATTTGTGACTGGAATTCTGGTGGTGGCAGTCAGATTAGGTAGGAATTGGTCTTTGAGATGTCTGCAAAATGATTGGTATGCTGTGGCTGGAATTTTTCCTTCTCTATCCCTCTTGTTCAGTTATCTCTGTATCTTCAGTTTCTTCCTTCTGCATCCTGCTTTTCCGAAACGCAGTGGATAAAAGATTATAATAGAGTTTCCCCGGACTCTCTGCGTTGTAAATTTGAGAGAATGCCAAGAAGGATATTGGTATTTGGATGGTCTTTTTGCTTTGAATGTATGAGGAATATTACCAGCCATTAGGATCTTGGCTACGTGGATATTTGGTTCTTTCATTGTGCCAAGTCTTGACGCCATTTCATCCATTCCCCGACTTTCAAACTTGCCTTTGCACCCACAAACCTTAAATTTTTCTGTTGTTCAATCAATTTAGAGAGAGCCTAAAACTGTGAATCATTACATTATTATAAGGCAAATCACCTCAAATTACATCGAATGAAGTTATAAAGGTTGGATTCCACCTAGAGGGGTCTTCAGTGTCTCTGTCATCCCAATGGTCACAGCCTAAACTTTGTTTCTCTTTCAAACTGAATTTTGTTAATGGTTATCAGTACTTGACTTGATTTAGGGCCAGTCAAGTTGATTAATGGTTCTACACTTGGGAGTGTGAACGTTTGCCACTGTTTCTCCATTGTCGTGTGTGACTGCTGCTTGATTCCTTCTCGATATTTCTGGAATAATTCCGTATAAAGACAGTACGCATAGTTCGACTTTTACCGTCTTTTTTTTTGTGGGTAATTTTAATACTCCCTCCATCCCATAATTATTGTCCAGTTTGAGTTTACATTTCTAATTCAAATAATACTAAAAATAAAATCTCAAATTGGACAATAATTTTGGGACATAGAGAATACATAGTATAGTATTCTCTTCTTCAAAATCTGAAAAGAAAAAAAACAATGACACTTGTGAAAGGTACCACCAACGGTGCGTATTGGCCGATCGATTCATAAGAAGATGCAGACAAATCTTGACATCTTGTGATGATTCAAAATAAAAATCTTACTTCTTTAAAAAGTATCAGTTCATACTAACAGGGTGGCCCAAGAGGTAAAGGGCTAGGCATCCAACCTGGAGATCCCAAGTTTGAAATCCCATGGCAGCAAAATATTACTTTTCTTTGTAAGTTGCAGTTGGAAGGTCTTCAAGCACCTGATGGACGCGCGGAAAAGACTCACACATATAATAGCCTAAGCTGTTGCAGACGGAAAAGACTCGTACATGTAATAGCCTATAGTTTAGATGCTTGTAGGAATTGTATAAAAAAAAAAAAAGACTCACACATGTAATAACATACATACTTGTAAGAATCATACATGTAATAGCCTAAGTGCTTGTAAGAATTGTATAAAAAAAAATATAAAAAAAAAGACTCACACGTGTAATAGCTTAGGTGCTTATAAGAATTGTATATATAAAAAAAAGACTCACACATATAATAGATTATGTGCTTGTAAGACTTGTATAAAAAAAAAAAAGACTCACACGTAGTAGGCTAGGTGCTTGTAAGAATTGTATAAAAAAAAAAATTTTAAAAAAAATGTATTAGTTCATCAAAGTTTACTGTTCTATGCTTTCAGTTCAAAATCATAAGAGTAAAGTATACTTATTTATGTGCTACTGGGGAGAAACTGAAGGAACGAAATCATGATCATCTATCTATTGGACCCTTAACTGGCTGGACCCTTAACTGGCTGACGTTATTACTTATTGGAAAGTGATACACAGTCAAACGGTAGCTTTTGTTCTTTTGCATTGGGTTTCAAATTCAGCTCCGCCATGTGTTCATAAATAATTTATTACAGTAAAGCTTCCAAAAAACGAAAGAAACCGTACCAGAACGGGCATTTCAGGATGGAAATGTCCCCAGAAAAATTACATAGATTTGGGGTTTGCAATTGCAACCCACCAAAAGCTGTACATGATGACTACTTGACTAGTCTATAATAAGAGATTATTAAAGTAAGGTAGCATAATTAAGCCAACAAAAAGCAAGGTTATCTATGAACCTTAATCGCCGCTAACACTTAAAAAAGTTAATAAAATCCAGTGTTTCTACTTTTTTTTTCCTTCCTAATATAACTCGCAAAAAATTCCTGAAAGAAAAAACACCCCTCGCCGCTGCCGGTGAATCAGAAGAGCGGTGGTGGCTGGTTCAGATCAAACAGAACAGGCTTCTTATCAGGTTTTGTTTCTGATTCGTTCACATTCATGGCCAAGGTTAAGGTATCTAACTTATATCCAGTATATTCCGACCGCGAGGCCTGCCCGTCGACGTGACGATCGCCGGCGGCGCCGGAGATCGGCCGGAACGCCGGTGGGTACCAATGCTGAAACTTCTCAGCGAAGAGTTGCGGAGACGTCATGTTGGGCAAAGGGATGGCAACCGGCGGCGGCGACATAAACATGCCGCCGTCGCCGAAGTTAGTTTTGGCTTTAGGACCACGGAGGCTCCGAGCCGCCTCGTCGTAGGCCATGGCGGCTTCCTCTGCCGTATCAAACGTGCCGAGCCACCTCCGGGTTTTCTTCCATGGATCGCGAATCTCCGCCGCGTAACGCCCCCACGGACGCTTTCTGACGCCGCGGAAGTGGGTCTCTTTCACCGGACGGAGATGCGGAGGAGCCATCTGATTGGGGCCACGGGCGGCGGCGGAGGAGTTATTATTGCGGAGGCGGAGTGGTTCGACGACCATCGGTGGGGGCGCGTGGGACAATATAAACGCGATAATAATGTGTCTGGGAAACAAAAGAGAGCGATGAAGGGAAATGTGGGATAAGGTTGGTGGTTTTTATAGCTGCCTCGTTCAACGCCGACAGCTTTGTGGCAATGATTTTCTTTTTTCTTTTATTTCTTTCTTTTTAAAAAAAATTATTTTACACCCAAATTACTAATGCATGTAAAATTATCAAGTTTCCTTCATGTTTAGGAAACTATGTTGTAGTCCTCCAAAGTTTTAGAATATTCTGATTATACATAATGATTAGTTCTGACGATAAACGTGTTTAACAAAAAAAAGATGAAAATTTCGCTCGTTTCTTTTGGTGGTGATATATCTAATTTTGCAAATCTCGCGAGAAATACGACAAGTCGACTAGATAATTGATATTTTAGTTTGAGAATATACAATTTTCACTTTAATTTTATTTGTATTAAAAAAAAGTTAAAATGTACAATAATTTTGGGATTGAAGGAGTATAAGATAGAGTGGCATCTCAATCTTTCTTCTGTGATGGTCAAAAGGGGTAGATCATAAATTTTCGTAACCTTAAGGGACGATTCGTAATTTGTTGAAACTCTTTAGGGTGATAAACAAAGAATTACCAATTCATTTTCTTACAACTCGTTTCGTTGAGTGGTCACTGGTCAGACGATGAATTAAATAGTATGCGTGCAAACTGCGATTTAGGATCCGCAAATATCCCTATCACGAAGTTCTCACGGGTGCGTGTACAGATTGTCTTTTTTCTTTTTTCGCCCTTATTTTTGCGTCATTATTACCCCTACTCTGTCATCTTTTGCAGTTTTACTGCCTCTACTCTATGTCTCGATCCACCGTCTACTGCTACTTACTGCCAGTCAGCCTCCTAGTTTTGTAGGTTCAGTTTTCTACTGCTTTGCTTTTCTGGATCTTTTTGGTCAAACTATTCATTACATTACCACATCTTTAACTACTAAAATTTTGAAACTAGAATCGCATGATTTGAAGATTTGAACTTGTTGCGCTTATTACTCACAACCGTAGTTTTGTGTTTTGCATATGGCTGCTTTTTTATGATTTCACCAGGGATATGTCCGACAGGTATCGTTTTGATTATTTGACTTCCAAAATTATATTCTTTTCTTTTTTATTCAGATTAATTTTTATTTTTAGCATAAATTGAACTAAAAATAAAAATTCACATGGACAGTAATTTTGGAACATACAAAGGAACATGTATTTATTTGTTTTCAAAATAACAATCTTATTTTTAAAACTAAACCACCGCAAAACATAATTTTATATTGGGATGGAAGGCTACTTGTTTCACTATTTTGGTACTTCTAAAGTGAGAAAGAATCAAAGTTGAAATTAAAATTTGAGTACAGATTTTATTTGTTATTGATGCAATCGCTGACGTTGCACGTAATTATCACATTATTGTGATGTTCTTAGGTTCCGCGGCTAAAATGCACCTAACGCGTAAATGTGAAATCGATCCAACATACTCACAACACGAAGTTAAGTAGTTAACCATCAATTAAAAATACTAAGCTCCATATGATCATGAGAACAATCCCCCTGCATTAAAATATCATAAACATCATGTTGTTTATTCCAATTAATGTGGTTCGAACTCAACCACCTTCACCGTACAGTGACGTTAGTTTATAGTTGCAAGTCCCAACTGATGTGGATTGCGGGCCGCTACGTTGTTATTAATTAAAAGAAAAAAGAAAAATAGGCTGATTTTTTAAAGCAGCTATTGTGTTATAATCTTGAAATTCACACATATATGTGTTCATAATCATGCATATCATTTAATGTCTTCTATACAGATCTCTAGCCCCTCATTTGGTCGATGTTAAACTCTTCCGGGGACTCACATCATAGTTAAAAAAAAATTATATAAAAAAAAAATTCTAATTACAAAATGTAGGATTTTGATCAAAATATAACTAACGTTTGAAAGTTATCATCTTAGGTATGTTTGTTTCGTTTTTTTAGTGTGTGTTTTTAAGTGTTTTTTGTATTCAGAATGAAAAAAATATGTTGGAAATATCAAAAAAGTATGCTGAGATGGGATAGTTATTGATAAAATAAACTGAAAAAATCATTAAAAAATCAAACAAACAGAGCCTAAGCTTTTCGACTTTGATTAATGTAGCACCAAATCAATCAAAGAACTACATCCAGTAATGAGTCGAAACCTTGAGCTGAGTTTATGTGATGTCAATAACTGCATAACCAATATTAATCAAGGGAGGATATTGACGATGAAAACAGAATTTATCTATAATAGATGTTACACCCTTATGCAAATCATAGTGTTGAGGAGACTAAATTCCTTTTTATTATTAATCAAATGCAAGGCAAAGCCATAAATGTATATAGAAACAAAAACATCTCATATTGAGGTTTAGTTAATGTCAAATTGTCCCATCGAGATTACTCGTTAGTGTGCCGAGTCTCCTCAATTGAAACGACGGGTGGAGGATGATTGATTGGTCTAATGAAAAAACCCTCCACAATTCAACTTTAACGTGGCAGCGGTTTTGTGCATCGTAAGTCAATATATAGAATTATAGATAACGCGGACACCATATCATTCTGTCCTTTGAAACGTGATGTTATAACCAATTTAATTAATCAAAGAATTTAGTACTAGTACAAACTACTATTTGGCTGCTAAAGTGGGAGTCATTTTCAATTCAACAGTCCAATTATGAATCTTTTCAAGCACGATGCATGTTAAACTGTGTTTATACTAATATATCGATAAATTCCGTGGTACGCTTAATAAACTATCTACAGGCGTATCATCGTATGAACTATAAAGTCTATAACCACTTGTATTATTGTTGCTCTTGATTAAGAAAAGAAAAGGAAAAGAAAAGAAGCTCATTTTTTATTATTCCCACGAAAACACATTAACACAGTTTAAAACTTGACGTACTAACTATTGAACTTAGTAAGACTAAAAGAGGTTAATAGCTCCATTGATGGCGCAGACATCATCATCCAATATCACGGGATTATCTTAGTACATATGGGGTTATCAATTATCATTGCCCAATCATACAATAATATGTTAAAGGGAATCGCCTTTTATTTTTCGATTTTTATTTTTAATTTCATATATATACAAAACAAAATCTAATAAGAATAATTAGAAATCAATAATGTATGGCAAAAAATAGTGAAGTACCCTAGTTTGCCGAATTAATTAGTACTATACAATTATACTAGAGTAATATATAAGGGGGCGGAAGATTGGAAGTGTTGACGAAATCTCCTTTGCCGCGGAGAGGAAGAAAAAAGGAAACAAAATGAATAAACGAAGCAGCGGCGGCGGCGCATGATAGACAAAAGTCGTGGAGTATGTTAAAATTTGGGCGGGGGAATGGCTTTGGTACTTGGTGGTGGTCCCTACGTCTGGCGGGGTTTTTTTTTTCTAAATTCAGGAAAAAATACGCAAGAGTACGGAGGGAACACGTGGATGTGTGCGCCAGCAGTTAAGTGTAAAAACGCCTTAGCTTTGGCCTAGTGGCCATTTTTGGGCTATGGAGTCCTTTTTCTTCCAGAATCTGACAAAACTAAAACCACCTAGTTTCTAGCTTCTTTTTTTTTCTCCCTTTACCATTTCTCTCTCTTTGACCACATCTTCTTCGTTACCCATGTTGTTACAACTTACAAGCTGCTCACATTTCATCACCATCACATTGAGTTCTTCATTTTACTCCCTCCTTCCGCAGAGAAATGAAGGACAAAAAGTCAAAAACCGTATGGTTAAAGGTACTATTCAAGCAGAATGGAGATGGGAGATAATACATACATATTCAGCGAATTTAATCTTTTCGTTGTTCATTTTTCAGAATTAAGATACACAATATATCTATTGTTCATCCCAAAAATGTGTTTATTTTGTTAAATTATACTTTTTCCAAACCGAAACAATTGTATAGTTTGGTGTGTTTTTTTTAGTTCAAATTTTATTAAAAATGAAATCTCAAACTGCAAAAATAATTTTGGGACAGAGGAATTGTCTAGAAAAAACATAATATTATCATGTTAACTAATAATGTAATCCACATGTCCTAATAAAATTAATTCATATTTAATTTTCAAATTTGTACTAAAATTAATACAAATCTCATGAACTATATATGTGCTAAAAATAGTCTACGTTGAAAACAGGAGTGTTATGTTATAACTAAAGTTTAAGAAATATATTTTTTTTCTATAGAATATTACTACAGTAGAACGTCAGTAAATTAATAATCTATAGATTAATAACTTCTAACAATTAATAATTTTATCCGGTCCCAACTTGGAACCAGTACAAAAAGTTGAAAAAAATCGATAAAATGATAAGATAATAATGTTTCAGAAAATCCCCTATATATCTATAGGTCCCAATAGTACCATAAATTAATAAATACACTAACAACAAAATAATAATAATTATTATACTATATATTTAATAAAACATGAACTATTAATACTTATTTTTTAGTCTTTGGAGATGATATGAACTATGTATAAATCTCTAGAATTCAGAATAGTTTTAATAATTGATTGATCGAATGTAAAGATAACTGCAAATTAAGTGATTTAGTGACGGTTCTTTTTTTTTCAAACAAATTCTTTAAATTAATAATTTATTAATTTATCTATTATTTAATAATTCGCTAAATTAATAAATTTGGTGGTCCCAATACTATTGTAATTTATAGAAGTTCTACTGTATTTTTTTTATAGAATATAAATTACTGTTTAACCCAAGTTTAAGAGAGTATCAGGATCGGCGATAATTAACTAAGGTAAATTTACGCTGTACTCAGTTTCCGGGCCGCTACTTTGTTGGCTTTAGCCACCACTACGCAATCTACAACCAGTCAAAGCTAGCTAGAAGCAGCTATGAGCTGACTTGAGCTAATCTAATTCGTCCCTGGTGGGTGTGGCTCGACAAACCAGCACAACTCCGTAATAAGAAGCTACGCAATAAAGAGCCTAAAAAGCCCCCCTAATTTTAAACGGTCGTACGTCCT